GCCGGGGTTGGACTGGGGTGGACAAGGTCAGAAAAATCACACAACGCCAGGTTATAGTCCAACTGGTTTACTTGAAAACACAAACTTTCGGAGCCTCGCTCCTTCTTCAGGATATAGAGGTACTGTAGATAGTGTGAAAATGATTGACAGGGATGAAACAAGGAAATGTTGGCAGGGGGAGGGGTGCTATACCTATGCGAAAAAGACAAACAGGTGACCAAGTTTAAAAACTAGATATTCCAATGCATGTAATTTTTAGAAGAGACAGACAAAATGGAAAACAATACAAGAGTAGGAATCTCAATAAAGAAGGATGGAATAAAAACAGAAAAGAAGGAGCATCTTAGTTCTGAAAATGGAAAGAATTAGGATCAGTTTGGGTGAAGCTAAGACACTGCAAAGGATATAAAATATTGGTTGGACTTATTTACGTATCAGTAATAAAAATGTTGGACAGAATATTGATCAGGAAATTGGAGCACATCTGAGTGATCATGGAGGATTTAGTTTTTAGATAGATTGAGTAAAGAAAACTTGTAGCAATAATGTAGAAGACAATTCATGAAATATAAACACACAATACTTTCTAGGTCATTGTATCAAGGAATCAACTATGGAACAGGTTATTTTGGATTCAATATTATGCAAGAGAAAGTTAATTAATAGCTTTGCAGAAGAGGAGTCTCTAGAGAAGAGTGATCATAATTCATAGAAATTTTACATTGAATTTTAAAATATAAATGTCAGCAACATTAAACAAATGTTTTGTGCAGTATCATGTTGTTGTGGTAGAAGGTATTAAAATGTTCAAGAACAAATGGGGAACCAAATCTCTACAGTGAAAATGAAGAACTTAAAAAAGTCAGTACAAATATTACCGGACAAAGTAATTGATTAAGTGACATTAAGTCTCCTGGACCCGATGACCTACATCCTGGAACTTGGAAACAGGTGACTGTAGAGATTGAGGATGCATTGGTTATGATCTCTCAGACTTTAGCAAATTCTTGTGCAGTTACATACTGGAACAATAGTAAATATAACCATGCTATTTAAGATAGGATCAAGACAGAAAATGGGAAACTATAGTCCAGTTGGTCCAATATCCGTTGTAGGTAAAATGCTAGAATCTATTATTAAGATATGGTAACAGAGCAATTTGAAAATCATAATGCAATCAGTATTTCTTGAGGATGTAACTAGTAAGATTGAAATCCATGGAATTAATTGGATAAATGTGAGGTGATGCACTTGACAGAACAAACAAGGCAAAGGAACACCTGATGAATGGTAGGAGCCTGAGTGATCATGTCCCCTGGTCCCATAAAGTAGGGGGACAGGTGGATAAAGTGGTTAAGAAGGCATATGGGGTGTTTGCCTTTATCAGCCAAGGCATAGAGTTTAAGAACAAGGAGGCTATGCTTGAACTGTATAAAACGTCAGTTAGATCACAGCTAGAGTATTGTCTGCAGTTCTAGAATCCACATTATAGGAGGGACGTGGTAGCACTGGAGAGGCTGCAGAGATTTACCTGTTATCTGGGCTGGAGAGTTTTAATTAGGAAGAGGGATTGGACAGACTGGTGTTTTTTTCTTTAGAGCAGAGGAGATTGAGAGGGGACATGATTGAAATATATAAAATTGTATTGGGCATAGATAGGATAAACAGGAAGAAACATTTCTCCTTGGTTCAATGACCAGCGGCATAGATTTAAGGAAAGGGGCAGGATGTTTAGAGGGGGATGTGAGGAAAAACATTTCACCCTGAGGGTGGTGGGATTTGGAACTCTCTGCCTGTAAGGGTGAGAGAGGCAGAAACCCTCATAACATTGAAAAAGTGTTTAGGTGTGCACCTGCAATGCCAAAGTGTACAAGGCTACAGGCCAAGTGTTGGAAAATGGGATTGGTCTAGTTAGATGGTTGTTTTTGACTGGTACAGACTCGATGGGCCAAAAGGCCTTTTTCTGTGCTTTATGACTCTGTTGACAAGGGGGGGTGTTGGGTGACATTGGATATAGTATATTGGATTTTGAAAACATATCGATAGGATACTCAGATGAGGTTATTACACAAAGTTAAGGCTCAGGGAGCATTGATGGGGTTTGGCCAATGGACATACAGAGTCGGAATACAAGGGCCATTTTGATGTTGGCTGGTTGTACCCATTGGACTGCTGCAGGAACCAGTGATTCAGCCTCAGCTATTTATATTCTATTGATGTGGAAGAAAGCCGAGTGTGTAACGTGATCAGGTTTCTTCATGTAAAGTTAGATCGGAGAGTAAGTTGTGAGGAGGATACAGAGGTGTGCAAAGGAATTTATACAGGGGGAGTACGTGGGCAAGAATACAACAGATGGAGCATGATGTGGGAATTTGTGAAGTTACACCTTTTGCATGAAAAGTTTAAAGATGCCAAATATTTTTTGAATGGATACAGATTTTGGAATGCTTTCCTTCAGAGGGATTTGGGTATCATTGTATATGAATCACAGGACATTAACATGAGAGTGTAAGTAGGAAGGTAAGTGAAATGTTAGGGTTTATTATTAGGAAGTTGGAGTATTGGAATAAACTTTTACTGCAATTTACAGAACACTGGTAAGACTATGCCCAGAGTATTCCGGGCAACTTTGGCCTCTTTAGCTAAAGAAGGACACACTTGCCCGAGACAGAATGTAAAGAAGGTTCACGAGACATGAACCTTGACGAACACAGAGGCATGTGGTCTGATCTTGTTCTCACCATCTCAAACTCAAAAATGACAAAGTTCAATCCAGCACCAGTGTGCTGATTGGTTGGCAAGTTGACATTGATTGGCTGAGATATTGTCATGGTGAAAGCAATGGAAAACTATAAAAAAAACATAAGAAATAGGACGGGTAGGCCACTCAGCATCTCAAACCTGTCCCATCATTTGATAAGATCACTGCTGGCCTGTCTCAGGCCAGTTCCTCACGACCTTACAATCCCTGAGACTTTGAACATCCACCTCCTTCCCCTTGGAATACTTTCAGTGATCGAGCCTAGCTGATGGGATAGTTATAAAGGCAATTACTGCTGTCCAAACATAAAACCACTTCTTTGGTGCTTTGAAGCAAAGGCTGGTTAGATTCAATCTGTATGCTATAACAAACAGGCAGTTTGATTCACTCAACAAATCATAGGGACATATGACCGATGTAACAGACATGACACAATCAATGGAGTTCATTCACCATTATGCTCAATTCGAGAGAGGTCAGAACATCTTTTTGCACTGATAGCAGCTTCACAGCACACCAGCAGCATGCAACAGCTGGTATCGACCAGCCAAACAGTCATAACGATGAAAAAAAACCTACTCCAGCAATTATTTTTAATGATTTTATGCTTAAACAGTACCCCAGTGAGAGTCAGTGTGTGTGGGACTGTACCCCAGTGAGAGTCAGTGTGTGTG